GAGGTTACCGTGCCCAAAAGTGCAGCCTGATACGCGACTCCCTCTCGACGACTTAGGGCATTTACCGTGTGAAGCAACCGTGGCCGATGAGCATATAATATATTATGTCAAACGGAAGTTGAAACGGTGATTTTTTTTATTGCTTAGTTGGATGGACGAGCTCACAGCCCGCCTGGTGTGAAGCGATTACTGGAACCCATAAACATCTACGACGTAAATGCGCCACCCACCTTGAGATATAAGTTCTAAGGTCTCAGTATAGTTACAACGGCTGCCCCACCCTTCAAACCGAAACGCATTACTGCTTCACGGCAGAAATAGGTAGGGTGGTGGTAACTACTCGCGCGGACTCACAAGAAGTCCAGTAAAACCAACATCTTTGAACTTCGCCCTAAGTAGCATTTTATTTAATCATTACGATCACCATTAAATCATAAAGGCATTGGGCATTGACTCATATTATCGGTATGCGAAGCTAATGAGAAATCACTCCTCGAATCAATTGTCAAAAGGTCAAAGGAACACACAGAAATATGAAAAAGTAATTTGGAACCCAAAAGAAAGAACTAACAAAGTAATTTAGTTTTATTATAACATGAATTCTAAAGCCTTTTAAATTTAAATAGAATGGCAAAGCGAAATAAAACCGATTAAAGGTAAAATTTTTAAGTTGTCAAATTTTTTCCTAAACTAATTTTTTTTTTTTTTTTTTTTTTTTTTTTGCTTAGATGGGTGGACGAGCTCACAGCCCACCTGGTGTTAAGTGGTTACTGGAGCCCATAGACATCTACAACGTAAATGCGCCACCCACCTTGAGATATAAGTTCTAAGGTCTCAGTATAGTGACAACGGCTACCCCACCCTTCGAACCGAAACGCATTACTGCTTCACGGCGGAAATAGGCGGGGTAGTGGTACCTACCCGTGCGGACTCCCAAGAGGTCCTACCACCAGTGATTACGCAAATTATAATTTTGCGGGTTTGATTTTTATTACACGATGTTATTCCTTCACCGTGGAAGTCAATCGTGAACATTTGTTGAGTACGTATTTCATTAGAAAAATTGGTACCCGCCTGCGGGATTCGAACACCGGTGCATCGCTACACACGAATGCACCGGACGTCTTATCCTTTAGGCCACGACGACTTAATTGTATTAAAGTTCTTAAATTAAAGGCTTCAATTAGAGTTTTTCCATTTAAAGTAGCAGAGGTCACTTTTTATGTATCTTGAATACTATATACGGGTATACATGGTGGGTGATATCTTCTGTGCAATCTTCATTTATCTTCTTACTTGTTACTACTCAAATTCGATATTGAAGATCGTTAAAGCCATTTACTGCTTGTAAACGCCCGGTAACAGTTAAATGTCATTGGACGCACGAGGTCATTAACATGACCTCGTCTGGGATTTAGCATCTTTTCTTTCGTTTGCGAATATTTTTTAATGTACATAATAATATTATGTACTTCCTAAAACCACGTTGCCTTGTAACTTGATGTTAATTTACATTTAAATATCAATGATATACTATGTATCCGCTTTGACTTCAAAACGGTTCCCTTATAACCCGTTAGTCGTTTATGGCCTAATGAGCAAGATGCCCGGTATACTCATTTTTAGTGATGCGACTATTCCGGGACTCAAGTCCTATGATAGGTATACAATTTTTACGCACATATATGTATATTTAAATGTATTCATGAATGTTCTGAGAACAAAATCCTGAAACAAAAATGTATGTAACTACATAGTTATATACTTCATAATATGTGTTATTATTAGTGAATGAGTGTCAAATTCTGAACAAGCGTCACGCGAAACACTAGCCACGAATTGATAGCACTTTACTGACATTAATTTTCATGGTTTTGCTCACTTTAGTTTACAAAAATTGAAATTATGTACAATTCCCGTGATATCTTGTTTATGACTTCGTAAAACGAATGCGAGAATCTACGGAGTGATTTGCTAAAACTATAAAAAATACTAGGACTGGACTTGATTTTTATCTGATTTCTTCAGTGTAATAGCTAAGTCGCTATTGTTCGTGATTTATTTAATACAAACGGCTCGATCCGGCTCCGCTCGGGTCTTTAACAAAAATTTCAAAGATATTTGACGTTGTTTTATTTTTTTAAATAAAAGAACACTTATTACGGCATAACTATAATAGTTAGACATTCCCAACACTTTTTTGTAATTAATAATGTGTTCTACAAAGTCGTAATACATTATTTTATTCTGTCATCAATCGTTTTCGCACCAAACTATAGCTTACTAAATGTTTGAATTAACTTTTGGACTAATTCAGTAGGGATTTTATAGATTGATTGAGCACGCCTTTTTTATTTATTGCCTTCAAAATTAGACTAGTATACCCCCAGCCTGAGGGCTTGCCGTCACCTATTAACATTGTCAAGGGCTCAATTAAAGTGGAACAAAATACCGTGGAGGACAATCCATTCCTGAACCGAATGATGCGGGGCAAAAATCATATTTGAACGCAAAGTGGATGAGTACTTTTTTTTTAGGAATGAAGTGAATCCATTCCATTTTCACCAGGACAGGTCGGCGAGCATGGGCTCTGCCAGGAGGCTCAATGGCAGCTACTTCAGGAATGAATCTACCATCGGATCAACATCGCAACCCGTTGATAAGATCCGGCGAGAAACTCAGCGGGATGATATATGGGTCAGGCTGCACGTCAAACTCTTTGCCGAGTTTGTACGAGTACCAAGGTCCCTAAGCCTGCTTCTAGTGCTAGCTGCGTCTAATAGTAGTGGGTCGGAAGGATCCGTAAGGACGGATGAGTACTGTTGTTCTGAGAAGTTGGGATGAACTCTACTCTGGTGGGACCAGGAGCACTCACCAAAAATTAATTGGTATGAAAAGCTAAGATTATCAAAGTTCCTCTGAAGTGCTAGAGGCTCTAAGCCGACTCATCGTTGGATTACTGGTACCAGATCAGATCAGATCAAACTACCATTCTTAATACAATATAGTATATAGAGTAAAACGGAACAAGCAATATTAACACATATTCTTTGATGTATAAGATTGTAATTCAAGTTCCATTATAAGGTAATAGGACAAAATTGAATGATCGTCGATTCATGAATATTCCGATAGCCGTAACGAGTACATCCCTTAGAATTAATCCTTAATTTCGAATTGTTACAAAGTTCAGCGAACGTTTTAATATATTTTATGATAAATTTTGCTTAAAGTAATTCCAACGATTCGTCAGGATGCCGGTTACGGTTTTAATGCAATTTCGTTTCAAAATTTAACTCGAGATAAATTGGTTTTGTTGATCAACTCCTTTCTAATATTGTTAGACTTTTAGATATTTCTGAAAAGAACAAGTTCCTAACTAAACTTATTTAATCTAAAATGAGTTGAAGAACTGTGGCGTAATTTGCTTAATTTTATTATTAGTTCGAAGAAAAAATTATGCGGATCGCATTGTGATGAGGGCTGCGACCTTATGTCCCAAAGTGAATGACGGTAGTCAGATGTGGCTATAAATGTCACAAAAATAAATAACGCAGCAAAAAACCTAAATCACTCTTTTTTTATGGCTTAGATGGGTGGACGAGCTCACAACCCACCTGGTGTTAACTGGTCATTGGAGCCCATAGAAAACTACAACGTAAATACGCCACCCGCCTTGAGTATAAGTTCTAAGGTCTCAGAATAGTTACAACGGCTGCCCCACCCTTCAAACTGAACATTTCAAGACAATCTTGCATAATATCATTAAATAAATATTATGTATTGTGTAGCTATAAATTCCGTAGCACAACTGTCGGTCTACCGAGCAAAAAGTCCCGTTCGGCGGACCATCTTCCGTTTGTCATTCTTCAAATTTTACAATGGGGAGTGGGCAGCTCTTCCGCTGTTGCGAATTAAAAAGAAAAAGCGATCTTTGTAGTTTTAAAATCGTATGTTCATTTTGCTCGAAATAGACTGAATACCAATTTAAATGGGTTCCTCTACGCCCTATCCAAACGCAACGTCTTGCGTAATTCAAATTATTGTTCGCACCCTCTCTTTTAACACCTTAAGCTTAGAATTTATTAAAGAAATTTATATGAAGATTTATAAACCGGTCTTTATTTAATCCCGTTGAATTTCCAAACCACTGATCCGATAAGTCGCTGGTTTTGTAGCGTTTTCAATTCATTCCAACGCTTTCGGTTTAACCTCAATAGAATCTAGATCAAGCCTTGAAATACGAGAAATGAGTTCGTCGCGACCTGAGGAACAATTGCTGTCTTAGATTTGATAGTAATTCGGAAAATGTCTTGACGACAGTTACAAGAGAAAGAAACTGAAAATAGAATTTAATTATAAATTCCAAACTAACAATTCGTTTGGTTTCTTTGAAATTTGGAACATACGTCCTTTGGAGGTATAAGGGAAGATTTTCATCGGAGCGGGTGAAATTTCTCAGTAGTATCAATGGTCCGAATGCTATTGTTCAGAACTTGTATATATGCAAAACTTACCTTGAAAATATGATATATGATAGCTAGTTCCAAACGTACCAACGTCTTCCCTAGTTCTTCTAGGTATTTCTTTATACCAGGGTAGCCGGTTTGTAATACAATTCAGACTTCGTTCTTATATCTCAAAATGGGAGACAGCAATCATATTATTGTCAAAGTTAGTCCTTTCCTCCTTTAGGAGTGAAGAGGAATTGACAGAATGGTCTAAACGGTTGTTTGTGACACCAAATAATTGAAAGAAATGGCCAACAGACCAACCAAATTACCTGTCTAGCGTCATAGATAAGATAGTTAAGTTGTGACGAAACGGAGCAGTGTGATCAATCATACCATAGATATCACAATATTGCCTTAAATGCTTTCGTAAGTGATGATGACATTTTCAGTAACATTCCCAGTAATATTGAAAAGTCTTCCGAGCTGAGAAAGTATACGCCAGAACATCAAGTACAGGTGTGATTCATTCGAAGTAAAAAAACTTACCCAAAATCCCAAGTCTGTAGTTAATTGTGACCACAACTAGTCCCGCGTGAGAAGCTAGTACCGTCCCATCGTAGGGGTTTCCAGAACTCCACTCGTAACTCTCCCCGTGGACGAAGACCAACACTGGATATCGGGCTACAGCATCTCGTACACCTGCTGAAGAAGACAGGGTTTTAGTTTTGCAACGTGATGCTTTTAAGCTATAATAGTATTTTGGGTTCAGATAAAAAGCCTGGCAATAGACAATAACTGGATCTCGGTAACTTTGAAAGGTGAAAGGCAGGAAAGTTGTATGAAATTACATCTCCAATTCGTCAAAGTATAAAGCACAGTTAAAGTCCATTAGTCCAAGAATTGTTGATTACTGTAAGCTTTTGACCGTAATCATTGATAACTTTAGATTTAAATTCATTTTATTTATTACACTGTCAATTTTTTTCTTGACATTTTATCTCGAGAAGGTGGCGAGAAACATTTAATTTAAATATTTTATAGTCTAGAGACGTTACGAACAAAAAAGAAGACAACTGTAAAATAAACATATTGTCACTGTAAAGAAATATAAACTATCAGTACTTAACTCGTCTTCGTGCCTTTAGATTCGATGACATTGGATAAATTGTTAATGTCTATTTTGCAGAAGCTAAAATTAAAATGAAATGAATCAAAAAAAGTATGAGTAAAGACTAATGATACATTTTTTTGGGCTTCAAATGTATTTGTTCGGTTAATTAAGCTATCTAAAGCAAGTTGCGCTACTACGATGTTAAAGCCAGAAAATTTCTAGGGCTACATTTTTCAGCTTTATGATATTTTCTCCCCCGATTCTCCTGAAAAACATGGGGGTAGTAAATTGAGACATAAATACGATCTCTTTATTTAGTACCCATGAACTAGGATTTACTTTGTAAAAATCAAACAAACATAAAAGGAAACTTTACCGAAGTGCCTTCAAAGCAAAAGTAGGGCTAACTAGGTTACTTTCAGCAAATTCACGCATTCGCCCCTTAGCACAGGGATGTCTACTATGTATGAAATAAAATCATAATTAAATCATTTTACATATGCACCGAAGAGTTAATAATCTAATCGACGGAGTGGTAGCGGCTCCATCAGTAATTATGGTTATAATTACAGCGGTATAGGTAAAAATCTAAAATTTTAGTGTCAAAAAAAAACTTGATTATTGTAACTATATGATTATATGTATTGATGATTGTAACTATTTTAATGTTCTCATTTAAGTGAATCTATGTAATTCTTTTGAGAATAAAGAATATCTTTAACCCGATTACTTAAGAAGAAACACTTATTATTCAATGCTCATGATAGGTCAACTTGTGGGGATCTGCCAATTTGTACTAATAAAGGTTGAAGGTATATAATATAAAAGGTGTCTGAAAGCGTGCCGACTCTTAGGCCGTGTAGGGGAAATTTGTTCCGGAGCAGATAGTGTAACAATAATAGGAGATGTAGGGATTTCCTAAAAAATGATCTAGATGACTTTTCTTGAGTAAATCCGATACCTTATTGATTATAAGCAATTTAAGCAGTTTTACTTTCGGATTTTAGAGACGATACCACTATTTCAAGTAGGGCCAAGCATTTGGTCTGAGGCGCATTAGTCATTGACTAGACGCGAAGTCTACCTTTGCCCTGTTGAAAAGTCTAACATTTCAAAAACTATATATCTAATAGCAAAATTGACTTCCTTAAAAGAAATAATAAATTTATCAACTAAAAGAAGAAAACTCCAACCCTTAACCCTATAGTTTCCTCCAACATCAGTATTGAACCATGGAAGTTTTACTCTATTTTTAGTTATATGTTTTAGTTTTTATACTATATGAATCAATTTGTTGATGTTCCTTCAGGTCCAATGAAAAGTACTTAAAGAAATATTTATTGTTTAAGAGCAAGCGAGATCCCACGAGGCCTCCACGTAGAGGTAGAAGCTCTAAAAAGCTCTGCGTAAAGTGCCACCCCTACAGTGACCACTAACTCACAGTACAGTTTGTTCCCTCTTTTATTATTTCCAATACGGTCATAAAAATAACGTATAGGTATTACTTCTCCCGAATAACCTTATGTTACTGCGCTTAGAAGCTGTATAGTCACTGCGTTATTACTATTTGTAACGCTATCTATTGCCAGTTGTGTGAATTCAATGAGGCTATTCGAGGGTCAGTTACTTGTATTTGATATTAGACTGAGGCTACTTATTTGAGGGCCGGTTTTTGGTCTTTGATAATGGACTTTACCTGAACCTTGTACGACAACCTTTTTGTATTTTTACTCTTTAGCTATATGGTATTCAAAAGCGAAGTACTGTTATCAGTTATCAAAGCCTTTTTTGTTATAGGAGGCATTCCTGATGTAAACAATTTTAAGCAACTTTAATTCACACAGACAAAGTGTAGAGCACAATTCATAACATAGAATATCTTTATGAAATCTAGTCAACATTTTTTGGAATCCCATAATCTTCCTACATGTAAATCTCTATCCACAAAAAAAGGTTCCGACAAAACATACATTTTTACTATGTCATTGGAGAGACTTGATAAAAACGGTGAAACTTTGACAATCACATTGAAATTCAAAGTCGAAAAGAGAATGGTTGTCTATCGCGTTCGGCCGAGTTTGCGAGATATCTACCCCGCTTCGAATAGGGATGGGAAAAATTGAACGAGTTTCACGAGTCAAGCAGATCGTAGATATATTTTTCAAATGTCGTACTTTGAGAGATAAAGTTGTTAAATTAGAGAAAGTATCAATGAAAGAGCCAATATTGATTTTGTAAGTAATATAACCGATGGTTTACTAAATTTAATAGTACTCTATGATATGATTCTGAGTCTTTGAAATTAATGCCTCCACCGACCTTGAATTTTAAGTTCTAAGTCTCAGTTTTGTTGTACTGCCACTTACTCACGCTACAAACTGAAACGAATCACTATTTCACTCGCAGAAATAGGCAAAGCGGTAGTACCTACCCGTGCAGGCTCAAAGGCACTCTACCGCCAATAATACGCAAGTTGTACTAAATTTTTTACAATATTTTAATTATAGCTCATAAGTCGCCTTAAAGTAAAAATTTATTAAATTGGGTTGGAATCTCTATTTATTATTTATTAGGTAAATTTGTCAACACTTCCTTCTTTCAATTATAGATTAAATATATATTTTTTTAAGCCAGTCGTAACATCAAAAAAATTGACTCAAATTAAGGGACTCAAGTACGCTGGCACCGCGTTACTATATAACGCCTTATTCGTCTTATCTCAGCAATGATGGATCGGAAAGAAAAGGATAAATCAAGTTTGTGTCCGACATTTTGAAGTTTGTGTCCGACATTTTGTACGGAAGATAGGAAACTGACAATTTTGTACAAGAATAAAAAAAAACCTTTTTATGAAAAATTACATTGTGCGGAAAGGACAAGAGCCTTTTTCGTTTTTATGTTAATGTTTTTATGGGTTCGATTAACACAATATCTTGTTTCAGTTATTCGTTCATTGAACTTTTCTGGATGCTATATCATCATGAGTCATTCGGTACATAAAATAAGTAATATCGGCCCTAATATTGATCTAGTGTATGCTTTGCCTTTTGTTTTTTTTTTCCTACTTAATCTGATGGTCTTGAGAGACCATTTCACGGGGCTCAAACATTTTTTTTTTTTTTTTTTTTTTTTTTTTTTTTTTTTTTTTTTTTTTTTTTTTTTTATTTTTTTTTTCTTATGAACGGGTAGATGAGGCCGAACCTCCCATACGAGGTATGCCGCCACTAAATGCAGCCAGCAAAAGGGTATGGCGCGCGGGGGTATTGTAGAGACATGCCAAGGCGGATCCTCGCATGGTGGATTGTGAGACAGCACCGCGGGGCCCAAGGATTGGTTAGGGACCCCACGCCAATCCGATGAAACGACTCCCCTACGGTGCGTCTACAGCTACTATAGCACCGCGACGATCGCCGATCCACCCCCCCTTCTGCGAGGTCAGCAACCCGGATAGAGGTAGGGGGGCTACCGGTCAAACCTACAACCAGACGGCGCGGCTCACCCCAAGGACGCCCAGCCGACGGAGCCTTCGAGGCGAATCGAAGGCTCTGAAACGTCGGCCGTCTCGGTACGGCAGCCCGTCGGGCCGCCCAGACGGTGCCGCTGGTGTCCCGGAATACCCCGCTGGACCAGAACCAGCCTGCCGGGTCGGGACGCGATACACCGTCGACCGGTCGCTCTATTCACTCCACGGCAGCGCGCTAGAGTGCTGGTAGCGCGCCGCGACGGGGCTCAAACCTGACGACGTTGCTAACACTAACCCTAGCAAGAGCAGTGCTTCGCAGAATCTACCGCCGGATCGAAAACGCGGCCCACTGAGAAGATCCAGCGAGAAACTCAGTAGGCACGCCTCATTCGATAAGAAATTAGGCTCCAATTATGAAAGAATTATAAATTATGTATAATTACATAGTGTTCGATATGTTCAAATGCTGGTCGACTTCTTGAGCTTTCTTGTTAATTTTTTTTTATAAGCTTAGATGGGTGGACATGGTCATGGCCCACCTGGTGTTAAGTGGTAAACGGAGCCCATAGACATCTACAACGTAAATGCGTATCGTAAAACGTAATTTTAACAGTACAACAGCTGCCTCATCCTACAAACTGAAACCCATTACTGCTTTACGGCAGAAATAGGCGGGGTGGTGGTACCTACCCGTACGGACTCACAAGTGGTCCTACCACCAGTCTCTATCTCGGAGATATTTAGAATTAGTATTGTATTATCTTCCTATGCATTTAATACGTATGCATTACGGTAACTAAAATCGTATCTATATCGTTCTCTTGAAATGTTTGAAGGAAATGACGTGAAACGAACAAAATGACTATCAGAAAGCGTAATAAACAATGGCCAGTCGTAAAGCTCAGTAAACAGGGTCCCGGGATAGTCCGCAGCTATCTTGCAAATCAGAACGTAATGAAGGCGGTGGCAGACTCGCGTTTATGAGCTGTCTCTACGTGGTACAACCTCTGTTTTATGACGTATGACAAAACGCTACCGAATTTGACAAACGTCAAACTTTAGGGACAGGTACAACAAAGTCATAAACTGTCGAAATGTTGCTGTGAAGTATGTTAATTTTTGTCGGTG